TGTTGCGGATCTGGTGGCGTTAAAGCTTTCTAGACTTCAATTATTGCATTTAGTTTGTTAACTCCTCTAAGTGTCACTTAGCACAACTCGTAGAGGGTGTTTGCTCAATCTCCACTACTTGATCATGCTCGTAGAAGAATTATCTTTCTTGCTACAAATTCACCTATTCTTTCCTGCATGTAGACTGATTTGTTCAATACAACTTCCTTTTCCTTTGACATTTTGCTTATAGTTGATACACCGGGAGTGCAATTCTTCTTCTACGGCATCTTGTAGAGATTTAAATTTGATTTATTGTATATCATTCGGTGTTCACCTATAGGTAATATGTGGTGTGTATAACAAATCTTCCACAACCCTGTAGAAATCTGCATTATGATTTGCTTGAAGATCTCTAAAATTCCAATGGGAAGTCCATGTTATTGATTGGTTGTGATTATGTTATCCCTTCGATTTGGTCTCTGCTTGCAAGGAAGGTTAATGTGTTTGTTGCGTTTCAAAACTTTCTTCTTAAAGGGTATAGGTGCATATGCTTGCATAACTGATTTATAGATGAGTTGTGTTTACTACATCTCCCTCATTCACCTTTGTTGGTGATTCATTGAATCCATAGCACATGAACTTCCCTAGTCTACAAAAGATTGATGTATTTTGTTTGTAGATTATTGTTGATTGGAGAGAAGTCATATTATTCATTGTAAGGATTATATTAAATCATTTTTGAGTGCAAGTATAATTCAAGTTTGAGTTTGAGTCCAATATCATTTGATCAAATTTGAAATTTAATTTGATTTTATGTTCGAATCGAATTTGAATTTTAATTTGATTTTATATTCGAATTAAGTTCAAATCAATTTTCAATTTTCTGTCCAAGTCCTTTGTTGTTCACTGAAAATTTCGGCAGCCTCCCGGCGTCTCCTCCCCACCAAGGGAGAAATCGGGACGGCACTGTCGTAGTTCTTCCCGCCCGGATCAAAGATCAACGGCGCAAGGTCTTCAATTTTAAACCATTCCACCAGGATCAAAGATCGACTGCGTATGGTCTTCAATTTTAAACCATCCTACCAGGATCAAAGATCGACTGCGTAGGGTCTTCAATTTTAAACCATCATACCCGGATCAAAGATCGACGGCGTATGGTCTTCAGAAGAACGATTGAGAGGTAAGTCCTCGATCTTTCTTGCTTGTGATTTATGTGTCAGAGCGTTTCTGTGTGTGTATGTGTGCGTAAAACCTCCGAATGTGAGGGAGCGTTGTTTTTAATGTCGTGAGTATGAAGGTGGATGAATCGTCGTTCCGTTTGGGTATGTCGGTGGAATGAGCGGTTGAGTCTTTTTTTTTGTGAGTAGTTACAGTCAACAATCATCACTCAGAATTGTGTCAACCTTCTCTGCTATGGGTGATTTGGGAATGTTTGGAAGTGGAGGTAAGTTTGGGTTCTCACACAGTAGGGACACGCAAGACTGTTGTATAAGTGGATTTGGTGGGCTAAAATCGGGACCTTCATATGCTACCAAATCTTCTATGTTAAAGGAGGGGTTGATATTGAATTATGCGGGCAAATCTACTACATAAGCATTATCGTTGATTTTCTCAATTATCTTGAATGGTCCTACACTCTTAGCATGTAACTTCTCTTCTTAACCATTCCTTGTGGGAACCATTCCAGACGAATACGCATCATCACGGAATCACCAACCTAAAAAAATTTTAAATTTTTGTTTAAGATCAGCATACAATTTAGATGTTATAAAACTAAGAATAATCTCATTCTTATTTTAGGTAATAAGGATAAGGATAATCTCATCATTATCTTAAAGCTTTTTTTCATTTATAAATTTGTTTGTATGGATTTTTCGATGAATTGATGAATGAATTGCTGATGAGGCATATTATAGTTGTTTGTTTTTTACTTTTTACATGCATATTATGTGCATGAATCACTATAAATTGAATACATAGAGTTTCCCTTCACCTTCTTATCC